AGCTCATCCAGATTGTTGGCCGAATTCAGTTCTTGGTGTTTGTGGGCCTGACTTTCCAGTTCCTTGCTGGCTGTCTGCAGAGGGCCTCTCTGAGCTCCCTAAGGCCACCTGAGTGTCCTGCCACTACGTTCTAATCAGCAACTGCACGGGAGTCCTTCTCATAACTTAAGATCTTTCTGATTGTCCTTCAGTGACATCAGACATTTTATTGTTGTTTTTGGGGTGCTGGAGATTGAACCCATGACCTCACATGTGCTATGGCCACATCTCTTCCATCTGTAGCTGGGGAAATTTCTCTGCTTTTTAAGACTGCATGATTAAATTGGGCCCAGTCAGATAATCCAGGATGATCTCTCTATTTTAAAACACGTAACCTTAATTATATCTGCAAAGTCCCTCTGCCATGGAATGTCACATATTCACAAGTTCCAGGAATTGGGATGTGGACATGGGAAGACCATCATTCTGCCTGGACACACCTCACACAGCCCTGGATTTCAGGCCCAGCTCTCCTTTTCGGTGTGTGAACTCAGAATGGGGATTGCTTCGCCTGTCTGAGCCTCAGTTTCTTCGTCTGTAGAAAGGAGTCACACAAGCCCATATACCCCAGGACCATGGTGAAGAGGAACTGCATTCATTCATGCAGAGGGCTGGTCACTGACTCACATGCGACCTTGTCATTGTGATGACTGGGGCAGGTTGACAGGGAGGATGTGGGATTGGGGCCTAGGATTTGGCACCTGATCTTCAATTTAGAGAGAGAAAGTGGATTTTGTGAGTGGGTATCTCTGAGACCCCAACAGGACAAGGGGTCTTGATGATGCCAAATGAATGAAATTCCCAAGATGTTCTGGACACTGAGTTGAGGGCTTTATGTACATCACAAGACCCATCCCAAATCATTCCCCTCATTTCCTGGAGGAGAAAACAGCTCAGCGGAGAGATTTATCCAAAGCTCAACAAGCTGGAAAAGGGAAGGACAAGGAGACCCTTTCCCTTCCATCAGACCAGGTGCCCCTGTGAGGAGAACACGCAGTTTCCATGACTGTGGGCTCCTGGGATGAGGGCCGTCTCTCACCTCTCTGAAGATGACCCCACTCCTGCAAGCCTGACAGTGCCCACGGTGACACCCGGCATGAATGGGTGCCGAATGGGAGACAGGCATCTCATCTATTCGGGGAACTTGCCGACCTCCTGTAAGTACCTGGGGAAGAACAATCCAGGGGGCCGTAACCCTGTCCACCACCAGAAACCAGCCTGGACAACCTGGGCTGTACTGAACGCTGGTAATTTCCTGTTACCACGGCAACACCGTCTCCATCCCCTCAGGATATAAACAGAGCGGCTCCCGCTCTACCCTTTCCCCCAAACCCTCTCAAAGTACTTCCATCTCTGAGATTCTGTGATTCAATTAATTATCACCAATGCCTGTGCTGTTTTTTGTCATTTTTCATTTATTCCCTCTGCTGAGTCACCGTGTCCTGCTCTGAATTAGAGTGGTTATTCACTAGAACATTTGGCCACTGGTTGCCATGGACACCTCACAGCCTGCATCCTTCATTACCCATTAATTCTCAACAAGGCTGGCTGCGAGCGTGGGTACCACTGCCCTTATCCAAGACCCGAGGCGCATCAGAACTCCCCCTCAGAAGTGGAGGGGGGGATGCTGATGACGCATGAACAAGAGCAAATGTCTGGTTCCAACTATGGAAAAATAAAATAATAGCCTAGAGCTCGCTACATCCATCCAAACCATGTCCAGGTAGCAATTGACCAAATAAGTCAACAAGTGTGCCATTTTGTGTTTTGGGACATCTTTGGCAAATGCCTTAGTCTGTTTGCTAATCTTTTTTGGGGGGGAGTGGGTACCAGGGATTAAACTCAGGGGCACTCAACCATTGAGCCACATCCCTAGCACAATTTTGTATTTTATTAGAAACAGGATCTCACTGAGTTGCTTAGTGCCTCACTGTTGCTGAGGTTGGCTTTGAACTCCAATCCTCCTGTCTCGGCCTCCCAAGCAGCTGGAATTACAGGCGTGCGCCACTGCACCTGGCCCTGTTTGCTAATCTTCTAAGATTTTTTTTTTTTTGAAGGAGGGGTTCTGTAATTGAACCCAGGGATGCTTTACCACTGAGCCACATCCCCAGCCCTTTTTATTTTTTAAGTCAGGGTCTTCCTGAATTACTGAGGATCTCACTAAATTGCTGAGGCTGGCCTTGGGAGCCTTCTACCTCAGCCTCCTGAGTCACTGGGATTGCAGGCATGCCCCACTGGTCCAGTTTTGAGGTGTGTTTTTACATTGCAAAGCTGTGAATGCTTCATGCAGATTACTATCTCCCTGTAAAAGCAAAACCAGGGGGGCTTGAAATGAAGGACCCTCCTCGGACTCTGGGTAGAGGGTTTGCAAGAGGCTGGAGCTGGGGAGTGGTTCTAGGGAAGTAGATGGCGTAAGGGGAAGAGAGATGCCAGGTTTTCCCTGGTCAGGGGAGGATGAAAGGTTTCAGAGGCAACCAGGACGTAAGCCACTCTGCAGAAGGAGCGAGGCCATCAACCCACGGCCCATTGCTCCTGATAACTACAACACGTCCTGTTTGCAGAGGCTGGTGGAGGGGACAGGGATCGATATACCACTCCTCACTCACACACTCCCTGGCCATCAAACATCAGTATATGGAGAAATAGGCTTCCTCTGAACCTAAGATCACAGGGTTCATTCCCCTTGCCTACCCCCACCCAAGGAATATAGTGTAAGAGAAGAGTACCAGGTCTCTGACCCCAAGGATATGGTGGGAGCCACCACTCCTGACCTGGGGAGCATGTCCCTGTCACTTGCCTGCCCCATGTGCCCAGCTAATGAGCTTCCCCCCCTTCCGTTCCCCAAACCCCAGATGACTGACTAAGACTTCGTGACAGGGTGGGGCAGAGGTGGCAGGTTCCCCATGCCCATTTCTCTTGCTGTGGGGAGGCTGGCCTCATGCCAGAGGAGGGTTTGGGAGGGACTTTGAGGGCTTTATAAGGCAGGCCTGGAGCATCAAGAAGAGCAGAGAGCTGACCCGGCTACTGCACCACCCGCCTCCCAGCTCTGCAGGTGAGAAAACCCCGAGGGGAGGGGAGAGTGGGAGACAGTGTTGACAAGTCCCTCACCATCAAGGTACCAGGCCACTGGCCAGAGCCTGGGGCTCACACCTTGGTGTCTCCAGGATGGGACCCAACCCTTAGCCCAGAAAATAATTAGGTCTCAGCTCTAGGACAACCCTGGCATTCCCAGCCTTTGTCTTCCACCTGCCTTTGTGCTCCAGCCAGGACCCTGCTGGCCCTCTTTCCTGACACTCTTCCCAGCACAGGGAGGTGAGGAGGACAAGGGCTACTCTCCTGTCATTCAGATGAGGAAACCGAGGCCTGGGAGGGAAATCTGACTTGCTCAAAGTCCTTCAAATGATTAGGCAGGACTGGAACTGGAACTCCTCACTCCTGGATCCCATCTCTACCTCTCTCCTAGACCAGCACTGCCCCAAAGAACTTTCCATGATGATGGAAATGTTCTGCATCAGCACTGCTTTGGACTGCCATATTGATGGCAGCCATGAGCCACGTGTGCTCTTAACATGTGGCTAGTTTGAGGGAGGAATAGTTTTGTTTTTTCAGCCCGGCTGGTCTCAAACTCAGGGGCTCAAGCAGCCCTCCTAGCTCAGCCTCCTCAGTATCTGGGACTGCAGGCATGCTCCCACATACTCTGCTAAGGGAGGGATTTTTCTATATAAAGTGCATTTAAATTTAATTATATTATTGTTATGTATTATTTTATTTTGTTATTATGTATTATTTTATTTTGTTATTATGTATTATTTTATTTTGTTAATTAATTGTGGCTAGCAGCTACCGATTGGTTAAATGTGCCGCTTCCATTGGACAGTGTAGCTCTAGGTCACCGATTCTTCAACTTCTCTTTCTGTAGCAGCCAATTCTTTTTTCTCCCAAAGGAAACCTAACCAGAGAACCTCATTATGAAAAAGCATTGAAAGTAGCATTTTAGCCAGGCATGGGGGCACATGTCGATGATCTCAGTGACTCAGGAGGTTGAGGAAAGGCGGATTGCAAGTTCAAAACCAGCCTTAACAACATAGCAGGTCCCTAAGCAACTTAGCAAGATAACCAATCTCAAAAATAAATAAATAAATAAAAAACAGCTGGGGATGTAGCTTAGTAAATAAAGCACCCTGGGATCAATCCCCAGTAACAAAGAGGGGGAAAAGATGTATCTTATTAATACAATGGGGTTTTTTTTAAATATTTATTCTTAAATTTTTTAGGTAGACACAATATCTTTATTTTACATCTATGTGGTGCTGAGGATCAAACCCAGTGCCTCGTGCATGCCGGGCGAGCGCTCTACCACTGAGCCACAACCCCAGCCCACAAAGGTTTTTCTTTACAGGAGAAAGTTTCTATCATTTACTTTGATAGAGCCAATCAGAATAACGAGGACGAAAGAACACAAAAATACTGAATGCAGAGAACTGATGAGCCTTTGGCTCTTGTGTTCGGGGCATCCCATTTAGTTCTGTATTAAGGTTTCCCCAAACTTGATCCACCATGGAACTTAGTTGCAAGTGGTAACAGCTTAATTTTTCCCAAGCACTTTAGTACAGTCACAGGATATTCCTCAGCTAATCAAACAAGGCAGCAGGCCCCTTCCTCCAAGGGCCACACAAACACAGTGAGACCTGCCCACCATTCTGGTGATCTCCAAAGTGACTGTATGTGGTAAGACTCCTGAGTGTGTATGCTCCTTGGTGTTAATATTTAAAAGTTTACTTTAAATTACAAAATTTAAACATCTACACAGCCATGAACAGGGCCTCAGATCCCACAGAGCAGTCTGGGAACCACTGCTCTAGGGCCTGAATTTCTCTGAGGGAAGCAGGTAAGGAGGAAAGGCCAGGCCTGGGGTGCTGGGCAGAGCTGGCAGGAACTGGAGAGAGGAACCCGAGATACAGCTTCAACCCACAGGGAGTCACAGGCCTGCGGCAGGTGGGAGCCCTAACCTGGAGCCCATGTGATCTGACTTCCTGTTGCTGGGCCTGAGAAGGGACACCCTGAAACCTGGACCTTCTCCCCTTTGCAGACAAGATGCAGCGACTGAGTGTATATGCGCTGGTTTTGGTGCTGGCTCTGGCCGCCTTCTCTGAAGCTTCTTGGAAGCCCCGCTCCCAGCTGCAGGATGCGCCCTTGGGTCCAGTGACCAATAAAGGCCTGGAGCCACAGTGGCTGGACCGAAGGCAGCTAGGGCCCCGGGGGCCCCCACACCTTGTGGCAGGTAAGAGCTGCCGACCAAAGTGACTGTAAGGTCCCCCCATACTAGCCCTGACCTCAGTTCCTGGAGGATAGGTGTCTTTCCCTCATTTTCACCTCCTATTGCTTCCTCAGACCTGTCCAAGAAGCAGGGGCCATGGATGGAGGAAGAAGAAGCAGCATATGGGTGGATGGACTTCGGCCGCCGCAGTGCTGAGGAAGGGGACCAGCGTCCCTAGAACCAAGCTTCAGAGCTCCGCCACCTCCCGCCCCACCATAGCCCCATCCTCTAAAAAGCAAATCAGAATAAACTAGCTTCAAATGGATACTGGATTGTGTCAAATGATGTGAGGCTGGGAAGGGGGACTCAGCTGGGGACAGCATTGAGGCATCAAGGAGAGTTAAGCTCTGCCTAGGAACAGGGACACCGAGCAACCCCTAGGACAATGGACCAAGGCTAACTCTTCTCCCAGAGCACAGCACTGAACAAGAATCTATCTGGGTGGCCGGGCTGGGCTTGTGGCTCAGTGGTAGAGCACTTACCTAGCCTGTGAGGCACTGGGTTCGATTCTAAGCACCACATAAAAATAAACAAAGTTTCATCCACAACTAAAAATATATATATATTAAAAAAATAATAATAATAATCTATCTGGGTGGGTAAGAGAGTAAGTGGTGAGGTTTTCAGCCAGAGTAATGTTTTCAAGAGATAAATCAAATTCAGAAGCCTGAGGCAGAAAGTTTGCAAGTTCAAGTTCAGCCTGGGAAACTTAGTGAGATCCTGTCACAATATTCAAATTTTTTAAAAAGGGCTGGGGAGGTAGCTCAGTGGAAGAGTGCCCCTGGTTTCAATCCTCAGTACTGCAAAAAATAAAGATAAATCCAATTGTGTCACTCTCAGTTTTAATCTTCTAAGCCTGCCTTTGCACCTAGAATGGAATCTAAACTCTTTTTTTTAAATATTTTTTAGTTGTCAATAGACTTTTATTTTGTTTATTTATATGCGGTGCTGAGAATCAAACCCCATGCCTCACACATGCTAGGCAAACGCTCTCCACTGAGCCCCAGCCCCAGCCCTGAAACCTCAACTTTTGTTGAAGCTCTAAGAAATACTCCTACCACCCCCCTCCCCCTGCGGATGCCTGTGTCTTCCTCGCCTTACTCAAACACACCATGCTCCTTCCTCTGACCTATGCTTGGAATGTTCTACCCCAGACACACATACAGCAGGTTCCCCTCTTCTCCTTGAATCCTTGGTTGAAATGCCTCTTCCTGAGAGACCTGCTCCTTCTGCTCCTCACCCTTTGTTACTCCATCACAACAGAACCCTTTTTTTTTTTTTTTTTGGTACTAGAGATTGAACCCAGGGGTGCTTAAACACTGAGCCACATCCACAGCCCTTTTTATTTTATTTTGAGGATAAATAAATAAGAAAAGTTCCCTGGCACCCCGCACCCTCCATCTGCCTAAAAGCAGGACATACACTCTCTTTGAGAGACAGTCTTGCTAAGTTACTTAGGGCCTTGCTAAATTGCTGAGGCTGACTTTGAATTTGCAATCCTCCTGCTTCATCCTCTTGAGCTGCTGGGATTACAGGTGTGTGCCACCATGCTCAGCTCACAACATAACATTTTCTTGAGAACATATGTCACAATCTGCAGTTGGTGTTTTATCAGTTTATCATCTGCCTCCTCAGCTAGGCAGAAAATTTGGAGAATGGCGACCACGTGTGTCTCTTCTTTGCTGTATTCCTAGTGCTGAAAATAGAGGAAGAGCAGGGTGTGATGATGCGTGCCTGTCATCACAGGGCAGCTGAGGCAGGAGGATCGATAGTTCAAGGCCAGCCTGGGACTCTTACTGAGACCCTGTCTCAAAATAAAAAAAAATAAAACAGGCTGGGGATATAGCTCAATGGTAGGGCACTCCTGGGTTCAATCCCCAGTGCCACACATACACACAAAAGGAAAAAGAACAAGGAAAGAAAAGAAAGGAAGGAAGAGATAAAAAGAGAAAGAAAGTAAGAAAAGAAGAAAAATTTTTAAATGAATAAAACCTAGGGGAACCAAATAAATATTTGCCAGATTGACAGGTGAGTGACTGGCACACCTGATCATCCCTCACCTGCTGTCTCCACTGTTCTAGTGCTTATCAGCCGCATCCCACCACAGGCACAGCTACTCTCCTGAGGACTGGAGGGGAAGGAAACAAAGCCCTCTATCCACAATAGTCACGGCTGGACTCTAATTAAAAAAAAAAAATTACACAAGAAAAGAAAGCAAATTTATTGGGGCTGGGGTTATGGCTCAGTGGTAGAGTGCTTGCCTAGCATGTATGAGGCACTGGGTTCAATCCCCAGGACCACATGAAAATAAACAAATAAAATAAAGGTATTGTGTCCATCCACAACTAAAAAAATTTTTTTTAAAAAAAGAAAGAAAATTTACCAGCAGGTGTATTGCACACTTAACACATGGAGTATCCAGAGATGAGTAACTCAAAAACGTGGCTCAGAATTTGGGTCCGTATGACATCTTCAACAAAGAACATTAGGTCTGTCAAGAAATGCCAAGATAAAGGAAAGTGTTTTGGGGCTTCCAAGAGTAGCAAGCTGTGGAGGGAAAGCAAATAGATAGGAAACGAATGGTAGATAAAGGTTAGACAAGCTTGTTCTGCAGATCATTCTGGTGCCATCTCCAGGTTGAAAAGGGTCTAAATTGTCTCCAGCTATTAACTTTTGCCCTTCTTGGTAGAGTGGGAAGAAGAGACATCTTTGAAAGTTTATGTCCTGCTTTTAGGCAGATGGAGGGGGACGGGGTGCCAGCCGTGCCACTTTTCTTATAGCTGCTGCTTCTCAAATGCCTTGAACTTCTTGAACTTCTCAATTGCCTTCAGCTCAAAATAACCCTTATGCCGATGAGGCATATCTTGGGTGTATACTCCAGTTTCCTTCAGAGCTTACTCTCAGTCCAAGCTCAAGACAGGTTGAAAATGATGAGGAATTAAATTTTCCATGAACACTTCTCAGGTAATGTCAGATGAGAGTTATAGGGTGACTACTCCAGTTCCCCAAGTCCCTGGATGGGAAAAGTATATTCCACTCTGTCTCCCAGGGTTTCCCAACAAGATGAGCCCCAGTTACCCAGAGCAGTAACTTGTTCAGTGATATCCTTCATTGCTTTCCTTCCTTCCCTGTCTCGCATCATTGTGTTCCCACTGGTGTTCCCTGGAACGCACCCAAACAAATGGCATTCACTTGACTCCTTGTCTCCAAGTCTGCTTCTGGGGAAACTTGTCCTAAGACAGTTGGTACCAGAAGGGATTTTAGGAGTTGTAGGAGGTAGACCCTCATAATGGGACTGTGAAATTGATTCTTCAACTGCCAACCCCCATTGTTGGTATGAAATGAGGTGCTGATAATCCTTGGAATACTGGAATATCACTATTTGTATGTGCGGGTAATGTTGGGGATCTAACCCAGGGCTTCATGAATGCTAGGCAAGCACTTACCATTGAGCTATAACCCCTCATTAGGAACGGGATGCAGGTAGAAAGGGAAGCGCAAACATAGGTGATTTCTCCAGCAATTGAGAGATAGGAGCCGCGACCATTACAACCTAAACTCTGGAGCTGGTTGGCTATTGTTAACCATCAGAGAATCCCTTGAGGAAGAAACCATGTCAGCCACTATCAACTCAAGATATGTTGTGAAAGTCCAATGGTTTCCACGGTAGCAAAGAGAAGACAAGACTGAAAAACAAGCCCAAGATCTGATTGTAAGAATGCAAAGTAATAAATGAGGCTTAAATAAGAATCCCAGCAAGTCTCCTCTGCTAAAGAACAAAAGAAATGGGACCATGAGACCTTGGGTGGGATATTTTAGGAGATATCCTCAACAACCTTGAACTCCCAGATTTTTCTGAACCCTCAGGACTAGAAGAAAAGCCTGTACTTCACCAAGGGAGAACAGCTTCCCCTTCACTGGAGACCATGCAAAAGCCTCCCAGAAGCAGATACTTCATAAGATGATGCTTCTCTTCAAGATCTGACCCTGTGCCAGGTGCAGTGAAGCATGCTTGTAATCTCAGAGGCTCCGGAGGCTAAGGCAGGAAGATCGAAAGTTCAAAACCAGCCTCAGCATTTTAGTTAAGCCCAAAGCAACTTAGCAGGACACTGCCTCAAAATAAAAAATATAAAAGGGCTGGGGATGTGGTTCAGTGGTTAAGCATCCCTGGGTTAAATCTCTGGTACAAGAAAAAAAAATCTGACCCTGCTTCTTTTGGAGCTTCTAAACCAAAAAAACTAGGGTCTTAGCATGTGCATAATGAGAAAAACATAAAGCATTAGAGAATATTAATTTGTCCTGTATTATTATTATTTTTTTTTTGCAGGGGGGAGTACTGTGGATTGAACTCAGGGGCACTCAACCACTCGATCACTGAGCCACATCCCAACCCTGTTTTGTATTTTATTTAGAGACAGGGTCTCACTGAGTTGCTTAGTGCCTTGCTTTTGCTGAGGCTGGCTTTTAATTCATGATCCTCCTGTCTCAGCTGCCTGAGTTGCTGGGATTATAGGCATGTGCCACTGTACCCGGCCATACTGTATTAATTTGCTAGAACTGTGCCATAAAAGACCACAAATTGTGTGGCTTAAAAACAAAACCTTGGGCTGGGAATGTAGCTCAGTGGCAGAGCACTTGCCTTTCATATGTATGGCCCTGGGTTCAATCACCAGTACCACAAAAAATAAGTGACTAAACCAGACACTTGGCTGGGCACAGTGGTCCACACATGTAATCACAGCTACTCTGGAGGCTGAGACAAGAGAATCTCAAGTTCCAGGCTAGCTTCAGCAACTGAGCCAGACCCTGTTCCAAAATAAAAAAGGGCCGAGAATGTAACTCAGTGGTATAGTGTCTCTGGGTTCAATTCCCAGTACCATAAGAAATAACATGCCTATAATCCTAGTGACTAAGGAGGCTGAGACAAGAGGATTAGGAGTTCACAGCCAGCCTCAGCAAAAAGCAAGGCACTGAGCAACTCATTGAGACCCTGTCTCTAAATAAAATACAAAATAGGTTGGGGATGTGGCTCAATGATTTAGTGCCCCTGAGTTCAATCCCTGGTACCAAAAAAAAAAAAAAAAAAGAATTGTGGCCACAGCAGCTGTGGCAATGGTGGCATCTCCACTAGAACAGATAAGCACAAACTTGATACATGGTATGACCTGATGAAAATCTATTTTCAATTCTTATTAGGAAGAAAGGAGCTCTCATTTAGTTGGAAGAGACAACAGTACATATTCAAGGTCTTGTCTGAATTCATGTTCACCTTCCTAACTCTCTGTCATAATATAGTCCCAAAGAACTTTGATCATCTAAACATCTGCAGAGTCTTACAGCAGTTCACAAATTGATGTCACCATGTTTATCATACCTAGTGAACAGGAAGTGGCAAGTACCCTGGTGACCCTGGTAAGACACATGTATACAAAAAGTAGGAGCATAAACTCTGTTACTATTCAGGAATCTTGGTGACGTTTTTATGGACTCAGTGGTCTAGGGCAAACTTGTAGCTTCTACTGCTAAGAAAGAGGCCTAGTACTGGGGATTGCACTCGGGGGCACTTGTCTACTGAGCCACATCCCCAGCCCTATTTTGTATTTTATTTAGAGACAGGGTCTAACTGAGTTGCTTAACACCTTACTTTTTCTGAGGCTGGCTTTGAACTTGTAATCCTCCTGTCTCAGACTCCCTAGCCACTGGGATTACAGGCGTATGCCACCGTGCCCGGCCAGGCACCATCTTAAAGAAGCAATGCCAGGCCACAGTAAAGTCCACATGGAGCTCAAGTTCACATAGTGATAAAAGAACTGGACTGTAGCAGACACTGTCAGTGCCCACACCCTGGCTGGGCACTCCCCATTGCAGCACACGCTGGCCAGGTCCTCCTACGCACCAGGCACTCCCTGCCAAGAGCTCTTCCCTCACGGCTGCAGGAGCACAGCCAGTGGCAATGCTAATGCCGCAGGGGCAGCCCTTGACCAGTGATGAGTGGGAGCTGAAGGAGGCATGTCCCCGTTATCCTCAGTGGGATAACAGATGGACTCTACATCTGTGTGTCCCAAATGCCAACAGCTAACAAGCACAGCCTTATTTATTTATTTATTTATTTATTTATTTATTTAAGACAGGGTCTCACTAAATTGCTGAGAGCTTCAGTAAGTGGCCAAGTGCTGAGGCTGGCCTTGCAATCCTCTTTCGACTATTCCTGACAAGATTCTGCATTTGACATAAACTGGTTCACATGTCTCAATTTTGAATTGTGAAAGGTCATACTTCCTCCTCAAGTTCCAGGGAGTCCCGAATGTCGTTGCCTATATAACCCCCTTTCATTCGTTTCCTCCTATTCTCACTTCCCTGCTCCCCCAAAGAGTACTTCCTGGGATCAACTTCCAAATGAGCTACTTATTTGGTTCTCCAGGTCTGCTTCTGGGGGACCTCAGCCTAAAACAGAAAGTGACTCACCCACTTTACCTAGCCAGGGTACAAGGGCAAAGTCCCTGGATCAGAAAGGACCAGAGAAGGTGGTCTGCCCAAGCATGGGCTCCAAGGATGGGGTTCAACCCCAGCACATCATCAGCTGTTTAGACCCTGGCTTGGGAGGTCACCGAACTTGCGTAGGCCTCAGTTTCACCAATTGACAAATGTTTATCACATCCCCCCATGCCACCTGGGTTGTTGGTATGTCATTGTATTTAATGAAAGTCCTGGGCATGTCACTCAGTGTTAGAGTTCGTCCTCTCTCCACAATTTACTCCTTCAAATGGTGCACACGTGCTCGCGCGCACACACACAGATGCACACATACACACGCATACCACGCTCCCTGAGAAAGAAGACAGGAGGCTGGTCAGGTAGCACACAGGTCCTTTATTTCCTGCACCGGCACGAACACAGGCTGACAAGCAACGAGACTGAGAAGCGCTGTGGGAGGCGGGGCAGGCACTCACAGGGGTCCTGAGCCCCAGACCCCAGCTGTTTACGAGCAAAGGGGTGGGAAAGGGCAGAACAACTAGAACGAAGAAACAAGGGGCACTGGGGGAGGACGGCAGGAGGGAGGCACTGGGCCTTGGGCAGGGAGTCTGGACACTCACAGGCTACACAGGTGGTGGCGGGGCAGGGGTGACACATCACTGGGTAGAGGGACCCCTCACCCACCCACACACAGGCACACTTCCGGTTACACACAGTAATAAAGACGGAGAAGAAAGGATGAAGAACAGGGGAAGAGAGCCAGGTCCCTAAAAGTCAATAAGAACTGGGGGCCACCTTTAATTCGGGGGTCAAAGGATTTAGAGCAACCTGTTAGGAGGGTGCTCTCACAACTGGGATCCGAGTCCCCCACTCCAACTCGGTCCCACCTATCTCAGAGCTGGGTCTGGCAGGGGGCCGGCCTCCCTCTGGTCTTCCTTCACCCCTGGGGCCACCATATGATCCAGGCCCAGCTTTTGTGGCTTTTGTACCAGCCACAGAACAAGGGCTGGGGTTCCTTCAGCCTGTCCCAGAACAAGGCTCGGTAGGCTGGTGACAGACATGGAATCCCATTTTGAAAGGGGAAGGAGGGCCTGGGGTGGGTGGGACTTGGCCAGGCAATGGAAGGAGGGGCCTCTGCAGGCTGCTGGGAAAGAGCAAAGCCTGGGAGAGAAGGGAGAGAATGTGACCGAGGGCCTGACCCCCACCGGCCTGGCATGGGCAGCAGGTAGGGGCTGGCCGGCTGTATCAGAAGAAGACAGAAAGCCACCACAGAGAGTCACACAGTCACAGAAGTCATGATTCAGTTTACAAGCTGCATGACTCTACACAGTGGCCCTGCTGAGGCCGATCGTATTCTGCCTACTGGTGACCAAAGGGCCATCAGAGGGGTGACAGACCAGATAGAAGGAAGTCTGCCAACAAGTTATAAACTGGGTTGACCCACCTGGCCAAGTGGGGCACCAGGACCTCCTCTGTGGGGAGGGATGGACCAGGAAAGATGCTGTATGTAGTGAAGTTAGCTCAGATCCCCGATGCCCACAGTAGGGAGCAGGCTCAGATTGACTCCTAGCTGCATGACCTTGAACAAGTGACTTTAGTTCTCTGAACCTCAGTTTCCTCACCTAACAAATGAGAGGCAATCAGACCTGCCTACAGGGGTGTGAGGATTGAAGGAGCTAACGCAGGGTCCCATGTGCTGAGTGTCACATGCCACCTTTCATCTCTCTGAGAACTCCTTACAGGTGGGCCCAGAAGCCCCTCGCTCAGCAGGTCCAGCTCCCCAAATGTGGGGTTTCTAGCTGGGGAGAGGAGACCCTGACTCACCCACCACCCTGCAGGTAAACTAGTCCACCTCCAGACTCACCCAGGGGACTTCTCCAATTGTGGCCCTGGCTACTGAAGGCCTTCATATCAATGGCCTGCCTCAGTGGCCCCAAAGGCCCCTTTTCCTCCCAGCCCCTGGGAGGGTGGCTGGCCCTGTCCTCCTCCAGCCTCCAGTCCTGGGTGGGCAACCGGGGCTACTGCTGCAGGGTTGGGGAGCCCTGGGGACAGAGTGGGTAGGGCCGAGGGTTGGGGAGGGGTGGGCAGATAGGAAGCTGAGGAGCACTGGGGGACACAGTCCCAGCCCTGACACCCAGTCCAGCCCGCAGGAGAAAAGTGGGTGGAAAGCTGGACTTCTAAGCAGATTCCACAAAACGAGCATCGGGACCACAGTTCCCCTTGAGGGGGACCTGAGGTACCTATGCAAATGATATGCAGAGTCCATGCAAATCAGCACGCTGGGTGGGGTCAGGATGGGGTAAGTGAGCACTTGGAGGCTTGCCTACCCTCCCCTCTCATCGGCTGGATGATCTGCAGCTGGTCCGGCTGGTCGGAGGGAGGCCGTCGCGGGAGAGCTCCTCTTTCTGGCGCATCTTCTGCCTCAGCTGCCGCCTGTAATGGGCATCTTGCCAGTTGGCTAGTTGCTGGAGGACATACTTCATGTCCAGGCGAGAAGGGCCCAGGCCACTGGCCTCCAGGGCTGAGGTCACCACATTCATCCGTGTGGCCTCATCCACCTCAGGCTCCACCTCCTCCCAGGCCTCAGTGTCCTCAGACACTAACTCAGCATCTTCTGACAGTCCTTCCTCAGCTGGTCCCACCTCCTCTGTGGCCCCCAGCTCCTCTTCAGGCACCAACTCCTCTGCAGGCTCAAAATCTTCAGGTGGCATGAGATTCTCCGCAGGCATCAAGCCCTGCTCAGCCTCGAATTCCTGCTCCTGCTTTCGCTCCTCCCTGTAGCGGGGGTCATATCTGGGCAGGGAGACAGTGACATAGTTCCATATGCCACTGGCCTCTCCTCCACTCCCCCCCGGACTCTCCCACCGAAGGGGCCGAGGAGCAAAGTCCAACCAGCAGGACCACCCCGCTCCTCTACGAGCTCTCCTGACCCTGCCCTGGCCTGCACAGAAACTGAGGGTCCCTCCCAAGGTCTGTCCCAGCCAGAGAAGAGGGGAGCTGGGAACTAGCTTCAAGGATTCACACACCCAGCCCTTGCCCCAGAAGAAAAGCCGCCAACTCTGCATTGGTCCCAACTTCTCCTATATCCCCTACCCTGCTGCAAGGAAGTGACCAGCAGGGATATTCACAGCCCACCCCCCAGCTAGTTGCCATAGGAACAAATCCATTGTAGAAAGGCTCAGACAGGTCAAGTAACTTGCCCAAGGACTCATGGTAAAAAGACTGAGTCCCCAATGGTTCTATCCCAGGTCATTTGCCTCTCAGTTCCTGGTCAGATGAAGGGAAGGCCTTGGTCCCCACTTAGAGCAGCCTTAAGTAGCGCACACCTGTAATCTCAGGAAACTGAGGCAGGAGGATTGCAAGTTCAAGCCACCTAAGGGACAAGACTTGAAGGAAAAAGGAGCAACTCCTTCCCAGAACAACTCTCAGTCCAGTGGGCCCAGAGAACAGGGCCTTCCCTAGAGTCCTAGGGTCACAGAAGCAGCTGCATGTGGCTACCTGGCTGCTGACTGACAGATAAGATGATGGGAGATGGCCAGCTTACCCCAGGTTGGACGTTTCCCGTGCTGGCATCCCATAATTCCTTAACAGAGAAAAGGACCTTCAGCATACTGAGGCAATGGAGCTGAAACTGCAAAGTCCCTGGGGCCCAATCACGCCAAAAAATCCCAGGGACAAATGATGCATCTCAGACTATGTCAACAGAGGGGGCTGGGTGGCACAGGGAGGCAGGGGGCACCATGGGAAGCATGCCAGGGCAGAGCGTGCGGGCCAACCCCTCCCAATACAGGAAAGTTCACCCACTGGGTAAGCAGGGTGAGCACGGCCAGGCCAGGGTCCAGGGTCCCAGCAACACACCTGCCCATAAAATACGCAGGGTCCGAAATGATCCTCCTTAGAGATGTTCTAAGCTCCTCAGCCAGGGTCTGTGGGAGATTTGGAATTGCCCCCTACAGTGGAGACAAGGTACATTGGCAGGAGACAACCCCCAGGGCCCCTATCCACACTCAGACACAGAAAGGGACTGAGAGCAGAGACACAGGGCACATGGAGGTAGTCGGATACAGAGTCGAGGAGGGTCCTCACCAGAGGCACAGTGTACGCATAGTGGGTGACAGAGCCAGGGGGTGCCACAGCATGTTGGCGGAGGGTCTTCACCTCCTCCGGGCGCTCAAACAGTACGCCCCCGCAGTCCGCATACTTCTCCCGCAGGTCCTGCAGTTGGGAGCCCAACCAGAGGCTGTGTTGGGACTCTAAGGCCAAGAGGCATGAGGCCTAGGTTCCAGACCCAAAGAGCAGCACACAGGGTGACCCTGGGCAGGTCCTTGCACCCTGCTCCACCCAGACCTCAAGTGACCTGCCAGTTGGGTCAGAAAGGAAGGGAGCAGAAAATGACAAGACCCGGTCCCTGCCTGAAAGCTGCTGGTCTTCTTAGGAGAGCCAGGCAGCTGCCAAGGGCTTTAGGTCTCTGCTTAAGGCCAGGGGCTCTCAAGGGTAGGCAAGAGAATGGGGCACCTCACCTCTTCCTGGGGGTGCACATGGACTCCCTTCTCCGAGGCCAGCTGATGCTGCAGCTTCTCAGTCTCAGCCCCATACTGCAAGAACCCAGAGCCCATGAGCCCCACCAAGGTCTCCCCATGCCAGGCACATGCACCCCACCCCACTCTACCAGGCACATCAGGGAGGGTTTGGCAGCCCTTGACATATAAGGTAGGGGACTCATGCGGCCTGGGAGAGTCTCTGAGAGGGCCGTGATCCCCTCCTTGGACAGTGAGTGGGCATGATGAGCAGTTCTCTGGCATCTCCACCAACACCCACACAGAGATGTTGGGCCTGGTGGAGGCCATGAGGCGGGGGCAGGGAGAAGGAGGCTAGGGTCCCATGGCCTGGACAGGTTGGGGAGCTCCCCACACTCCAACCCACCGACTGGCAGCGCTGCTGCAGCTTCGCGATCTGGGCCTGCAGCTGGGTAATCTCCTTCTGCTGCCGTTCATAGTTCTCCAGTCTGAGCACCAGCACCTCTGACAGCTCGGCCATCTGCTGGCTGGCCTCGGCTAGGGACGGGGTTCAGGTCAGCCCCAGCTCCCTTGTGCCTGTCCCCGCCCCTCAACCCCCCTGGAGGGCCAAAGGGTCCTACAGGGCTTGGTGTTCCTCACTCAGGTCTTGTCAATAAATGTTTATGACAGTGACAGGGACACCAGGGTACATGGTCGACAAGATCTGGTCCCAGCCCACACTGAGCTCAAGTCTATTGGGGAGACAGTTGGGGAAAAGAACTCATAATAATGCATAATAGGGGCTACAACAGAGGCAATGTCAAGGGCACATGGGAGAGGGCTTAGCTGTGCACCCCACCGAGCCTTGCAAGGTCTGGGAAAGGTTCTGGGAAGAAAGAACCACTCTTAGACCACAGGGCAGGTAGGGCTCCACCAGGAAAAGAAAAGAAGAAACAAGTCCAAGTGGAAAGTGGAAAGGCTCAGAACCAATCATCAGACAGTGGAGGGGTGTGTTCAGGGCAGTGGGGCTATCCTTTGTCCAGTAGGAAGCTTTTTGGGGGTTTTAGGCAGAGGGCTGATGTGGTCAGATTTTGGAAAACTCATTTGGGCCAGCTCAGGAAACTGAGGCAGGAGGATTGCAAGTTCAAAGCCAACCTCAGCAGTTGAGCGAGGCCCTAAGCAACTTAGCAAGACCCTGTCTCAAAATAATAATAATAATAATAATAATAGTAGTAGTAGTAGTAATAGGCCTCATTGGTTAAGCACCCCTGGGTTCAATCCCTGAAACTCAAGAAAACTCATTTGGACTGTATGCAGAAGGGCCTAGAAGGGCACGAGTGTCCTGGGATAGATATAACCAGAATCTCAGGGAGGAAAGAGACTTGAGATTCATAGGGAGGTAAAAGCAACAAAACTTGGGGACCCAAGGGGTCACTCGGGAAGTTGTGAAACCCTGAGAGAAGGAAGGCCAGGCTTGGGGTGAGAGGACAGCTATTGTCTTTATATCTCAGGGACCAGACTTGAGCTCCTCGGGAACAAACACTGGGCCTGCTCATCTGCATAAATATAGTACATAGAATGACACCAGCATGCCACCCACCCACCCACCCACCCACACATGACTCTGAACTAGCTCAGCCCTGGGTGCCTGGCCTCTGGCAGCTCCTGGCTCCCTCCTTGCTCCCCTAAATAACAAAGGAAACAGGCTTCAAGTAGCCGTGTAGCTTTGGTACACTCTACAATTTGCACAAAGCACATCCTCAGGTGTTGCTTTCTTGATTTTCATAAACCCTGGGGAGATCAGCCTGGGCAGTGGGATGGAATCATTAATCCCCATTCTAAAGATGAAGGTTCTGAGAGATCAAGGAACTTGTCCAAGCTTACACAGCTACGAAGTCCCAGAACTAGGATTTGAACTCAGGTCTCCACACTCCAAATCCCAGCTTCTTCCCTCCACTCCTTAAGACAGCCCCCTACCGGAGTTACAAAATCACGTACAAAACTGCTCCACACATTCCAGGATGAGCATCTGCTCCTCATCCTCCAGGGTGTCCAGTTGAGAGGCCTGGAGGGAGGGAGAGAGGAAGGGGCAGGGCCATCATCACCCACTGCCCAGGGCCTGCCCTCCTCCCAGGTCTTCACCTCCTCTCTCAGCTGGTCATTCTCCTCCTCCAGCATCCTCAGCTTCTTCTGCAGGGCTTCTAGCTGTGGGCAGTGGTGCCGGGACTCCTCCTGAGGGGTCCTGGGGAGAGAGCAATGGGAGTCAGGACACAAAGGAGTGGAGTTCCCAGTTTCCATCTCATCCAGGGCTTTACACACCAGGGCTAAGAATGTGGTCTCAGTAATCCCAGCAACCCCGCTAGCAGATACGCTGCCTGTGATCCCCTTTACCAAGGAACCAAGAGGCTCAGAAAAGGGAAGGAACGCCCAGGTGCAAGGGCGAGATGCTCACGGCTTGCGGGCATCATAGGGATGATCATGCTTTCGCTCTTCCTCTCCTTCATGTTCCTCTTCTTCATTCTCTTCTTCCTCCTCCTCTTCTTCATCCTCATCCTCATCCTCAGAGTCTGAATAGAGCTGAAGGAGGTCATCCCGCAAGTTCACCTGGTGTCTGAGGTGTAAAATCTGGCAGGAGGACAGGAGCCAAGGGTCAGGGAGTAGACAGGCACACACAGAAGCAGGTGCTGACATGAGAAGGGTGTAGAACAACCCCCACCCCCTCCTCTCCTGCCAGTTACCTCCTCCCTGGCCGAGCCCAGCATGGCTTCCAGCTTGCTGTTCTCCTCCATCAAAACACTGTTCTGTTTCACCAGAGACTGGCCAATGCGAGCTGCCGTATTCAGGTCCCGCTCTCTCTGCAGAGGGACCACCACCCATAGGGTATACCTTCCCAGTTTCTGGGCCCTCCCAGAAGACAGTTGGAAGAAGTTAGGGGTACAAAGGGATCAGCAGGAGGCTAGGCCACTAGGAGAAACCATTCCCATCCCCTAGTTCTCCAGGTACCAAACCAGAGAGTACCGTTAATCTCCTGTGGGGCCTGACACAGTTTTTCCTTATGAAAAAAAGAGGCCCAAGCTACATGCCTTCCAGGAGAGGGACCTTCAGCTTGACCGTCCCCCAAGGGTGGGCAGGCAGGAAACAGACAAGACCCAGAACCATACCACACACAGGGTAAAATTAAAATGGGCACCAGGCTAAGGTCTGGAGCTGGCTTTGGGTGGGGAAAGTGGTACCCACCTCCTCCAGCAAATATAACATCACTTTGATATCTTCTTGGGTGATCTTCTTGACTGGAGGTAGGTTAGGACAGAGCGCTGCAAAAGGTGGGGATGGGGCGAGAAAGCCCCACCATGTCAGGAATGTAGCATATGCTACCCACAGCTCACTGCTCCCCTCAACACCCAGGGTCATGGAGTGAGAAGATGGAGCTCCCTTCCTGCCCCCAAAAGACTGACTCATCACCCCTTACCCAGCAGGCAGCTTAGCCAGCTCACCAGAGCCTCCTGGGTCATAAAAATACTCAGTCACCCACCCCACACCTGTTGCTCGTGCAGAAGAGAGGATGAGGAGACTTCTCCAGCACTGATTCAGAGGCACCTAAGCCTCTAGAACCAATGCAGACGGCTGCCCTAGCCCAGAAAAAGGTGGGAGAAAGAGGAGGAGCAGAAGCCCAAGGCCCCGCCCACTCCCCCCGGCGGAGGAAGGCGCAACCAGGACCCTGGCAGCCTAGAAGTGGCCGAAGCTCCAGCTCCGCTCCGCCCGCCCACCTCTCCACCCCCGGAGAGCCCCGCGGGCCAGCGCGCCAGGCAGCGCCCTCCCGCAGCCCCCGCCCCTCTGCTGGCACTGCGGTAGACGGGGAGGGGGCACTGAGAGTGCGCAGATCTGCCGCAGCAACAGGCGCGAAGAGGGGGCGGGGAAGAGCGCTGGCCCTGGACCTGACGCACTGACAAAAACCAGAGACCCACAGAGATGGGAGATGGCGAAGGGGCGACCAGACAGGCATCGAAGAAAGTGACATCGCGGGGATGATGGAGGGATGAGACAGTACCAGAGAGGTACCGACAGAACCCCCTCCTCCCTGGAGCTGTCCTAGTCCCACCCGCTCCGGGATCTCAGGGACCCAGGTTACCTTCTTCCAGTTCTCGAATGAATGCGGCGCGCGCAGGGCCGGACACCCCAGGACGCCTGCCAATGTAGGCGGCAGGTGTCTTCCAGATGCTCGCCGCCTTTCCAGTCCCCAGGCCAGTGGCCTTGGGACCATAGGGCCCTTGGAATATAAAGCGGGTCCACGGCGCATCCGAGTTGTCAGGCACGGACTGGCCAGATGGGCGCTGGGCTCCCGTCTTGGCTCCAGCCTGGGAGGCCGGGCGAGATCCGGATTGGGATCCTGAGGCTGCTCGGGAACCTGTCCCCTGTCCAGTCGCCGGTGCCTGCGTGGGGGCGGGCTCGGGCTCTGGAGTAGGACTGGCTACCGGCGGGGGAGCCGGGGTAACTGTTGCTGGGTCCCCGGAACCGGACCCGGAACCGGACCCCGGCCCATCCCCGGCGCATCCCTGTCCCTGCTCTTTGGGGCGCATCTTGAGTCCGCAGTCCGCTGCCGCAGCCGAGCCTTTATAACCTGTGCCCGGAGCGGGCGCCCCCGGGCTGTACCACGATTGGAGGAGGGGGTAGCCAAGGAGCAACTAGTGGTGCCCGGGACTCCGAATCGCGCAGGAAAGAAACAAGTGGTGGAGAAATAGAGGGATTGCGTAAAGAAAGAGAGAGGGAAAGAGTTGGGTGTGTTTCCCGCGGGTTCCGCTGGTTTGGGTTCATAGTGAAGGATTTCTCCTCCCCTTTCCATCTCCGGAGAATGGTTCCGCCCAAAGCCGCCGCTTCGCAGAGACTAGGGTACCCGGACTTGCGGGTCCCTGTTAGGAGCACCCCCTCCCCTCGCCTTCATCACCGGAGGAGCTTCCGGCTGCCTTCCCTGGTGTCGCACCAGCTAACCCAACGTTGTAAATACGGGCCAGGGTGACCTGTGCGTTAGCGCAGTAGGTATCACATCTTCCCGGGTTGACCGGGCTATAAATTCGAACTCCAGTACCAATTTCAACGTGCTACCCGACCTGGCGCGTCACACACTGATCCTGTCGCTCACACCCCCTTGTTTGCACTCGGCATCTTCCATCTTATTGCGCTTCCTCTTTCTTTACCTCCAACCCTTATTCTCTTTGCCCACCCCTCGCCATCCTGACAAACACCTGTTCTTCTCGGGAGAACCCGCTAAAATGACTTGCTGTGACAGCTCCTCCAACCCCCTCCACCCCCATCCCAGAGCATCCCTTATCCGGTGGCCTGTACTGATTGATGTTTGTCTTCAAGACCAGACCATGTGCCTGTGAGCACAGCGCAGGTCGCCGGAAGTCGGTAATGAACTTGGGGGTGTGGTGGTAAGGAACGCAGTGGCTATTCCTGCAGGAACCTACAAGATAAAAAGAAATGGCTACTGCAGATTCTTTTCAAGTCTTGAAATCATCCTTGGGGGCCCCATTTCCTTCTCAATGCCAAATCAATCGCCGGGCTCTGTTGAATTTATCTTTTTAATTATTTCTCAAATGTTGGTCTCCTAAAAGGTCTGCCCTTTTCCCAGATGAGGATTTATTCTCTTTTCTCAGATTATCTTAGTACCTGCACTCACACGCCCACCTTGCCCTAGATCCAGATGTGTTGTTCCAACCTTGGCCCATCCCTCACACCTATACTCCTATCTAAGCTAGGGAATGCCAGGTGCCCCCTCCCAGTAGCTACCAGTCTGAGCCTGAGCCTCAAACAAGGACTGTTGCTAAAGGTCTACGCTTAAGACAGAGGCTTCTAGTGTCTTTAGGGCCAGGTTTCCTGGACACAGCCTGTGTTTTAGTCACCTTTTTCGCTGCTGTTACTAAAAGATCTGACCAGAGCAATTGTAGGGGAGGAAAAGTTTATTTGGGGGCTCACAGTTTCAGAAGTATCAGTCCATAGAAGACCAGCTCCATTCCTTGGGGCTCCAAGTGAGGCAGAACATCATGGTAGAAGAGTGTGGTGGAGGGAAGTAGCTCATATGATGATCAGGAAGCAGAGAGACTCAACTCACTAGATACAAAACATATATACCCCCCAATCCACACCCCCACTGCCACCTCCTCCAGCCACACTCTACCCATCTTTAGTTTCCACTCAGTTAATCCCTATCAGGGGGCTAATTCATTGACTGTCTTAAGGCTTTCATAACCCAATCATTTGTCCTCTGAACCTTCTTGCATTGTCTCACATGTAATTTTTTGAGGGACACCTCACATCCAAATCATAACAACCTGGAAAAAGAAAGACAGGAAGAAAAGAAACCCAGGAAGGATCAGAGTTCCACACCCACCAGCCCCCAACAAGTAACACTAGCATCAAAATGTTTCCTTCTTGCTGGGTTATATGGCACATGCCTGTAATCCCAGCAGCTCAGGAGGCTGAGACAGGAGGATCCAGAGTTCACAGCCAGCCTCAGCAATAATGAGGCACTAAGTAACTCAGTGAGACCCTGTCTCTAAATAAAATACAAAATAGGGCTGGGGATGTGGCTCAGTGGTTGAGTGCCCCTGAGTTCAATCCCCAGCACTCCCCCTCCTCCAAAAAAAAGTTTCCTTCTATCTGGGTTCATTCATTTGACAAACATGTATTGAATGCCCACTACATATGTCAGCCACTGTGCTAGACTGGCTAGAGCAGGGACTGAGAGAAACCAGATCTTTGCTCTCCTGGAGTTTAGAGTCTGATAAACAAGAAAAGAAAAAGATAATTACATATTTCAGTACATTCTCTGAACCATACAAACAGGGAGCTATGACTGAGAAAACCAGAAAGTACCTACTCTGACAGGTTGGAGAAAATCATTAACCACATAATCCTTTTCATCTCAGCCCACATCTGGGATGTCAGTCTACACAGCCCACTCAGATGCCCCTCCCTCTGACACAATAGCCTCCCTCCAGAGGAGCCAGCGTTTCTCGTTCCTGGTTGGTAGCTGAATCTTGGGCAATTCACCTCTTTATCCCCACATCCCTCACACGCAGGGATTCATCTGCCCACTTATCAAAGTGCAGTCCTATCTAATTTTGTTGGCTATGAATCCAGCCCCTACATTAGCAGGGGAATAATAAAGAACTGGTACCCCAGCCAAACTTGGACCCCTGCTAACCCCTGACCACATGGTGTCCACTCCATCTTCCCCTCCTTTCCCTGGGACACTTCTGCCACATTGTTGAAAATATCTTGTGAGCCCAGAGTCCTTGGAGAAAATAATGGGGCACTTGAGATCACATTGTATTTTATTAGGGGTAGAATCTTTAGTAACTTTTGTTGGTTTTGTGTCTTCTTTAGTCTCGTTTCTTTTTATCCTCCTAAATCATTATTCATTCCTCCAACATACGTTTATCAAACACCTGATGCCAGACATTGTGTCTGGATTTGACACACATCAGGGAGGGACAGCTACCAGCAATAAACAAAGAAATAATGAAAGAGAAGCCAAGTGTGTGTGGGGGGAGGGGTGTTGCACGTTGAAAAGAAGCTGTCAGCAAAGGAGAAGGAGACAGTTGAGTCCTGAGCTGGGGGCAGGAGAGAGCATGGCAGGCTATTCTTGAAAAGAGATAAGAGGCTACAGCAAATGCAGACCTGAGCCCAAGTGGCTGCATTGGAATGAGCAAAGGGGATTGCAGGATGGGTCAGGAAGGGAGCAGCAGGGCCATGGATGGGACCTGCCCAAGGCAGTGGAGAGCTATTCATCCCAGGGTGACATGATCTGACTTAAGTTTCAATAGGAAGGCTCTGTCTGAACGTTGTCAGTGAGAGACAAAGGTAGAAGTCGTGTGGCTATTAAAAGGGCTACAACCTGTATATACAGTTGTCCTTGCTATCTTTGGGGATTCCAGCACCCATCACACACACCAAAAGCCTCAGATATTCAAACCCTTCTATAAAAGGGCATAGGTAGTGCCGGGCACAGTGGTGCACACCTGTAATCCCAGTGGCTAGGGTGCAAGTTCAAAGCCAGTGTCAGCAACTTAGCAAGGCCCTAAGCAACTTAACAAGACCTTGTCTCAAAAAGAGTTTGGGAGCTGGGGTTGTAGCTCAGTGGTAGAGTGCTTGCCTAGCATGTGTGAGGCACTGGGTTTGATTCTCAGCACTGCATGTAAATAAAATAGACATCCATCGACAACTAAAAAAATAATGGTGGATGATTCAGCGGTTAAGTGCCCCTGGTTTCAATCCCTGGTACAAAAAAAAAGGTGGGGGCATAGGCAGTTTGCAAATAACTTTTGAGCATCCTCCCACGGGATTTAAGTCATCTCTAGATTACCTAATATAGCCAGATGTGGTGTTGCACACCTGTAATCCCATTGATTTAGGAGGCTGAGGCAGAATAATCACAAATCTGAGGCCAGCCTCAGATGTTTAGTGAGATTTTAAGCAACTGGAGACCCTGTCTCAAAGTAAAAAAGTCTGGAGAATAACTCAGTGGTAAAACATCCCTGGGTTCAACCCCCAGTACCTAAATAAATAAATAATAGAACCTAATACAATGTAAATGCTGTATAAATAGCTGTTCGTTGTATTCTTTAAGAAATAATGACAGCAGAGCATGGTGGCACACACCTGCAATCCCAGCATCTCGGAAAGCTGAGGCAGGAGGATCACAAGTTCAAAGCCAGCCTCAGCAACTTAGCAAAGTACTAAGCAACTCAGTGAGACCCTGTCTCTAAATAAAATACAACGTAGGGCTGGTGATGTGGCTCAGTGGGTGAGTGAGTGAGTGCCCCCGAATTCAATCCCTGGTATCCCCCCCAACAAAGTAATAATGACAAGGAAAAAAGTCTAATGTTCAGTACAAACATGATTTTTTTTCCTAATATTTTCAATCTACAGTTGGTCGAATCCATGGACACAAAATAGATGGAGGCCTCTGTGAATGATTTTGCATTGGAATCACCTCTGCGCATATTTTAGACATTTTGCATAAACTTACCTTATCTATACATGCCCTCGTATGTAGATATCAAAATCCTTGCTATTTTTTAAATCAAGGTAAAATTTACATGCAGGGAGTCAGGCATGGTGGTACACTCCTATAATCCCACTCAGGAGGCTGAGGCTGGAGGATCGCAAATTCAAAAACAGCCTCAGCAATTTAGTGAGACGCTGTCTCAAAAACATGTTTATAAAAGGGCTGGGAATATAGCTCAGTGATAAAGTGCCCTTAGGATCGATTCCTAGCACCAGAAAAGGAAAAAAAGAAAAGAAAAGAAAAGGAAGGATGGAAGGAGAGAAGAAGGGAAGGAAGGGAGGGAGGGAAGGAGGGAGGGGCAAACAGGCTGGGCATGTAGCTCAATGGTAAAGCACCCAGGGTTCAATTCCCAGAATCAAAACAAAAACAAAAATTTACATGCAGTGAAATGCTCAGACCTTAAAGGAAACATTGAAGCTGTAATCAGTTTTGACTGAATGTGAATCAAAAACACAAATTATTTCCATCAACCTTCTTAACTCTTTCCCAGTCAATCCCTATCCCAAG